TCTGAGACTTCAGAGTGGCCTTCGCTGTCGCTGGCCTGACTCTCGCTGGACCCCCGACGCCTCCGGTCAGTGGACGTGGCTTGGCCTTGCCTGCGGCCAGCCCCGGAGTGCCCGGAGTGGTCAGCAGACTGTCCACGACCGACCGTCCCCTGTGTTTCCCTGGTGCGGGATCCTGACTCGGACCGTCCTCGCCCCTGGCCAGATGCCTGGCCCTGACGGGCCCCCGCGTGCCTGGCGCTGTCACCTTCCTGGCCGTGACCGCTGGATGCCCTCTGGACCCCTGAGCTGGACCGTGTGGTCCTCCCGTGGGTGGATGAGGTCTGCCTGTGCCCGGCTTCGACTTCTGAGTGGCCTTCGCTGTCACTGGCCTGGCTGGCGCTGTCCTCCTGGTGTCTGCCCCTCCTGGATGTGGCGTGCCTGGGGCCATCGGTGGACTGCTGGCCGGCTGGGGACTCCTGTCTTCCTCTGGGGCCGGTTCTTGTGCTGCCCCGGGGAGAGTCAGCATGTCGCTGGGAGGACTCGCTCCTGGGACGAGAGCCGGACTGTGTGGTGCTGTCCGGGGACTGTTGGCGGCCAGATGGCTGCCTGCTGGGTGTGCCTCTGTGGCCTGCCTGACCATGGGTGGAGTCGGTGCCAGTGTGAGAGCCTACCTGGCCTTGCCTTGATCCCGGGCGCCTAGAGCTGTCGTGGTGGTCTTCCAGGCTCCTTCTGGACTGGCGGTGCTCAGAGCTGTCCCTTGCCTGCTCCCTCTGTGACCCCTGGCCCTCTCTAGCTCGGGAGGACCCGGCCTGGTGTCCAGAGGAGCTGCGTCCCTCGTGAGAGCCCCCGAGCCTGGCGCTGTCCCTTCCTTGTTCTTGGCGGGTCCCCTGAGCAGCCCTGCCACTGGCCCTCTGCTGCTCTCTGTGGCCAGACTGGGCGTGTTCGTGTTCGTGTTCGTGTTCGTGTTCGTGTTCGTAGTAGTACATGTGGTAGGGTCCAGAGCCGTGCTGGCCTCGAGAGGATGTCTGCTGCTCGCGCCTCTGGCTGGCCCCGGAGCGTCCGTGGGCTCCCACTGCATGGCCCTCTGAGACTTCAGAGTGGCCTTCGCTGTCGCTGGCCTGACTCTCGCTGGACCCCCGACGCCTCCGGTCAGTGGACGTGGCTTGGCCTTGCCTGCGGCCAGCCCCGGAGTGCCCGGAGTGGTCAGCAGACTGTCCACGACCGACCGTCCCCTGTGTTTCCCTGGTGCGGGATCCTGACTCGGACCGTCCTCGCCCCTGGCCAGATGCCTGGCCCTGACGGGCCCCCGCGTGCCTGGCGCTGTCACCTTCCTGGCCGTGACCGCTGGATGCCCTCTGGACCCCTGAGCTGGACCGTGTGGTCCTCCCGTGGGTGGATGAGGTCTGCCTGTGCCCGGCTTCGACTTCTGAGTGGCCTTCGCTGTCACTGGCCTGGCTGGCGCTGTCCTCCTGGTGTCTGCCCCTCCTGGATGTGGCGTGCCTGGGGTCATCGGTGGACTGCTGGCCGGCTGGGGACTCCTGTCTTCCTCTGGGGCCGGTTCTTGTGCTGCCCCGGGGAGAGTCAGCATGTCGCTGGGAGGACTCGCTCCTGGGACGAGAGCCGGACTGTGTGGTGCTGTCCGGGGACTGTTGGCGGCCAGATGGCTGCCTGCTGGGTGTGCCTCTGTGGCCTGCCTGACCATGGGTGGAGTCGGTGCCAGTGTGGGAGCCTACCTGGCCTTGCCTTGATCCCGGGCGCCTAGAGCTGTCGTGGTGGTCTTCCAGGCTCCTTCTGGACTGGCGGTGCTCAGAGCTGTCCCTTGCCTGCTCCCTCTGTGACCCCTGGCCCTCTCTAGCTCGGGAGGACCCGGCCTGGTGTCCAGAGGAGCTGCGTCCCTCGTGAGAGCCCCCGAGCCTGGCGCTGTCCCTTCCTTGTTCTTGCCGGGTCCCCTGAGCAGCCCTGCCACTGGCCCTCTGCTGCTCTCTGTGGCCAGACTGGGCGTGTTCGAGTTCGTGTTCGTGTTCGTAGTAGTACATGTGGTAGGGTCCAGAGCCGTGCTGGCCTCGAGAGGATGTCTGCTGCTCGCGCCCCTGGCTGGCCCCGGAGCGACCGTGGGCTCCCACTGCATGGCCCTCTGAGACTTCAGAGTGGCCTTCGCTGTCGCTGGCCTGACTCTCGCTGGACCCCCGACGCCTCCGGTCAGTGGACGTGGCTTGGCCTTGCCTGCGGCCAGCCCCGGAGTGCCCGGAGTGGTCAGCAGACTGTCCACGACCGACCGTCCCCTGTGTTTCCCTGGTGCGGGATCCTGACTCGGACCGTCCTCGCCCCTGGCCAGATGCCTGGCCCTGACGGGCCCCCGCGTGCCTGGCGCTGTCACCTTCCTGGCCGTGACCGCTGGATGCCCTCTGGACCCCTGAGCTGGACCGTGTGGTCCTCCCGTGGGTGGATGAGGTCTGCCTGTGCCCGGCTTCGACTTCTGAGTGGCCTTCGCTGTCACTGGCCTGGCTGGCGCTGTCCTCCTGGTGTCTGCCCCTCCTGGATGTGGCGTGCCTGGGGCCATCGGTGGACTGCTGGCCGGCTGGGGACTCCTGTCTTCCTCTGGGGCCGGTTCTTGTGCTGCCCCGGGGAGAGTCAGCATGTCGCTGGGAGGACTCGCTCCTGGGACGAGAGCCGGACTGTGTGGTGCTGTCCGGGGGACTGTTGGCGGCCAGATGGCTGCCTGCTGGGTGTGCCTCTGTGGCCTGCCTGACCATGGGTGGAGTCGGTGCCAGTGTGAGAGCCTACCTGGCCTTGCCTTGATCCCGGGCGCCTAGAGCTGTCGTGGTGGTCTTCCAGGCTCCTTCTGGACTGGCGGTGCTCAGAGCTGTCCCTTGCCTGCTCCCTCTGTGACCCCTGGCCCTCTCTAGCTCGGGAGGACCCGGCCTGGTGTCCAGAGGAGCTGCGTCCCTCGTGAGAGCCCCCGAGCCTGGCGCTGTCCCTTCCTTGTTCTTGCCGGGTCCCCTGAGCAGCCCTGCCACTGGCCCTCTGCTGCTCTCTGTGGCCAGACTGGGCGTGTTCGTGTTCGTGTTCGTGTTCGTGTTCGTGTTCGTAGTAGTACATGTGGTAGGGTCCAGAGCCGTGCTGGCCTCGAGAGGATGTCTGCTGCTCGCGCCCCCTGGCTGGCCCCGGAGGCGACCGTGGGCTCCCACTGCATGGCCCTCTGAGACTTCAGAGTGGCCTTCGCTGTCGCTGGCCTGACTCTCGCTGGACGCCCCGACGCCTCCGGTCAGTGGACGTGGCTTGGCCTTGCCTGCGGCCAGCCCCGGAGTGCCCGGAGTGGTCAGCAGACTGTCCACGACCGACCGTCCCCTGTGTTTCCCTGGTGCGGGATCCTGACTCGGACCGTCCTCGCCCCCTGGCCGGATGCCTGGCCCTGACGGGCCCCCGCGTGCCTGGCGCTGTCACCTTCCTGGCCGTGACCGCTGGATGCCCTCTGGACCCCTGAGCTGGACCGTGTGGTCCTCCCGTGGGTGGATGAGGTCTGCCTGTGCCCGGCTTCGACTTCTGAGTGGCCTTCGCTGTCACTGGCCTGGCTGGCGCTGTCCTCCTGGTGTCTGCCCCTCCTGGATGTGGCGTGCCTGGGGCCATCGGTGGACTGCTGGCCGGCTGGGGACTCCTGTCTTCCTCTGGGGCCGGTTCTTGTGCTGCCCCGGGGAGAGTCAGCATGTCGCTGGGAGGACTCGCTCCTGGGGACGAGAGCCGGACTGTGTGGTGCTGTCCGGGGACTGTTGGCGGCCAGATGGCTGCCTGCTGGGTGTGCCTCTGTGGCCTGCCTGACCATGGGTGGAGTCGGTGCCAGTGTGGGAGCCTACCTGGCCTTGCCTTGATCCCGGGCGCCTAGAGCTGTCGTGGTGGTCTTCCAGGCTCCTTCTGGACTGGCGGTGCTCAGAGCTGTCCCTTGCCTGCTCCCTCTGTGACCCCTGGCCCTCTCTAGCTCGGGAGGACCCGGCCTGGTGTCCAGAGGAGCTGCGTCCCTCGTGAGAGCCCCCGAGCCTGGCGCTGTCCCTTCCTTGTTCTTGCCGGGTCCCCTGAGCAGCCCTGCCACTGGCCCTCTGCTGCTCTCTGTGGCCAGACTGGGCGTGTTCGTGTTCGTGTTCGTGTTCGTAGTAGTACATGTGGTAGGGTCCAGAGCCGTGCTGGCCTCGAGAGGATGTCTGCTGCTCGCGCCCCTGGCTGGCCCCGGAGCGACCGTGGGCTCCCACTGCATGGCCCTCTGAGACTTCAGAGTGGCCTTCGCTGTCGCTGGCCTGACTCTCGCTGGACCCCCCGACGCCTCCGGTCAGTGGACGTGGCTTGGCCTTGCCTGCGGCCAGCCCCGGAGTGCCCGGAGTGGTCAGCAGACTGTCCACGACCGACCGTCCCCTGTGTTTCCCTGGTGCGGGATCCTGACTCAGACCGTCCTCGCCCCTGGCCAGATGCCTGGCCCTGACGGGCCCCCGCGTGCCTGGCGCTGTCACCTTCCTGGCCGTGACCGCTGGATGCCCTCTGGACCCCTGAGCTGGACCGTGTGGTCCTCCCGTGGGTGGATGAGGTCTGCCTGTGCCCGGCTTCGACTTCTGAGTGGCCTTCGCTGTCACTGGCCTGGCTGGCGCTGTCCTCCTGGTGTCTGCCCCTCCTGGATGTGGCGTGCCTGGGGCCATCGGTGGACTGCTGGCCGGCTGGGGACTCCTGTCTTCCTCTGGGGCCGGTTCTTGTGCTGCCCCGGGGAGAGTCAGCATGTCGCTGGGAGGACTCGCTCCTGGGACGAGAGCCGGACTGTGTGGTGCTGTCCGGGGGACTGTTGGCGGCCAGATGGCTGCCTGCTGGGTGTGCCTCTGTGGCCTGCCTGACCATGGGTGGAGTCGGTGCCAGTGTGAGAGCCTACCTGGCCTTGCCTTGATCCCGGGCGCCTAGAGCTGTCGTGGTGGTCTTCCAGGCTCCTTCTGGACTGGCGGTGCTCAGAGCTGTCCCTTGCCTGCTCCCTCTGTGACCCCTGGCCCTCTCTAGCTCGGGAGGACCCGGCCTGGTGTCCAGAGGAGCTGCGTCCCTCGTGAGAGCCCCCCGAGCCTGGCGCTGTCCCTTCCTTGTTCTTGCCGGGTCCCCTGAGCAGCCCTGCCACTGGCCCTCTGCTGCTCTCTGTGGCCAGACTGGGCGTGTTCGTGTTCGTGTTCGTGTTCGTGTTCGTGTTCGTAGTAGTACATGTGGTAGGGTCCAGAGCCGTGCTGGCCTCGAGAGGATGTCTGCTGCTCGCGCCCCTGGCTGGCCCCGGAGCGACCGTGGGCTCCCACTGCATGGCCCTCTGAGACTTCAGAGTGGCCTTCGCTGTCGCTGGCCTGACTCTCGCTGGACGCCCGACGCCTCCGGTCAGTGGACGTGGCTTGGCCTTGCCTGCGGCCAGCCCCCGGAGTGCCCGGAGTGGTCAGCAGACTGTCCACGACCGACCGTCCCCTGTGTTTCCCTGGTGCGGGATCCTGACTCGGACCGTCCTCGCCCCTGGCCGGATGCCTGGCCCTGACGGGCCCCCGCGTGCCTGGCGCTGTCACCTTCCTGGCCGTGACCGCTGGATGCCCTCTGGACCCCTGAGCTGGACCGTGTGGTCCTCCCGTGGGTGGATGAGGTCTGCCTGTGCCCGGCTTCGACTTCTGAGTGGCCCTCGCTGTCACTGGCCTGGCTGGCGCTCTCCTCCTGGTGTCTGCCCCTCCTGGATGTGGCGTGCCTGGGGCCATCGGTGGACTGCTGGCTGGCTGGGGACTCCTGTCTTCCTCTGGGGCCGGTTCTTGTGCTGCCCCGGGGAGAGTCAGCATGTCGCTGGGAGGACTCGCTCCTGGGACGAGAGCCGGACTGTGTGGTGCTGTCCGGGGACTGTTGGCGGCCAGATGGCTGCGTAGTAGTTCTTCTTTCTGCCCTTTCCTTTCCTTTGCTATGATCTTCTCTATTGTAATATATAGTGCAGTTTTCTATGTATTCTTCCTGGAGTGTTGCATTTTCTTGGTTCACAATTCCATATTCTAAGGTTCTTCTGTCTTTTTTTCCACTTTGCCTCCTGTGTGTACTTTCCTTTCTTTCAGATGAAGTAGATCCTCCCCGTTGCTTTCTTTTTGAATTGTGATGTTTCTTACTCTTTTGTCCTCTTCTGTGTGTATTTGTGTCTGTTTCCTGATTGCTACTGCTTGATCCATGTCTTTTCTTCCCTTTTCCTGTTGGGCTTCTCGATCTTCCATCCTTTTCTTTTCCATCAGTTCTTCCGTGACTGGATGTGTGTCTTTTCTCTTCTTCTCCATCTCCTCTATAATGGGTTTTGCTTCTTCTCTTTGATCCAGTTTGGGTCCTTTTCTTCTTAGATGCCTCATAATATGCATTAGCCAACTTTAACACCATTAGTAAATACTCAGTGAAGTCTATTTTCTCATTGTGGTCTACATCTAGGATTTCCATGAAGACATCTGCAATATCTTCATCATCTGGGTTCTGTAAGAATTGCAGACAGATCTTCATACCAATTAATTACTACTTTGCAATTCACATACAATAGAAATTTATGTCTTTCAGGAAACTATTGTGTAAGTTATTTAGACTCTTTTCATTTGTATTATCTGTATATTTTTTTCCATTTTTGTCACACATATGTTTGTAACATATGAGTTAATGTGTAATGGTAGCTAGAAGCCATGACTTCTTTTCCTGAGGTCAACTGCTCTTTTCTCAATTCATGATTCTGAATTTTATTCATTTCTCCATGTAATTTACTTCTTCTAAGTATACTTCAGTAATATCTTTCATGTCGGAAATAGTACTCTAAAAGTTAGGTTGCTCTCGTTGTTTTTGTAGTTAATTATTGTTTGTATTTATTTTGTACCTATAGTGCCTCTTCCTGAATGCCATAGAGGGACACATTTAAAGTGAGCTAAATAAATTTTATCTCTTCCCAATCATGGATACTTCATTTACAAATAAATTAGTTAAGTAATTTTTATAGAATTTTGGGTTAAAATACTGACAAGGAGCAGGAAGTCTGCTCTCCTTGGCTGTTTTTATTTGTATCTTACCTTCAAGACTGCCCGCAACTCGACTTCCAGAAGTTCCTTCAGCTCTGTTTTGCTCAGTGTTTCTGTTTCTTTATCATTGTTTGAGTATTGCTGGAAGATGTTGATCATGCTAGTGATGTTTTCCATGAGAGTGGACATCTTTCCACAGTATATATGTACCTATAAATGTGAAACAAAATTCATTTTTTTACTTTTATTTTTGGTTGTATTTATTATTTATATGATTATATATGCTTTAAATCCATAGTTTTCTTTTAGCAGTGAATTTTCAAAACAAAGCTTGATCATGAACAACTTTTCTCTACCATCTGCAAAGTAAAACTTTGAGTAACTTTTGAAACTGACGCTGGCTATTTTGGGGCTTTAAATCTGTTCACAATAGTAGTTTCTTAAACTCCTAGATCTCAATGTACTCTATGCAACATAATCCCTCTAGGTGAACTGGCTATTCTTCCTCGCAGGGTAATAAAATACTCAGGTTCTTATCCTCAGTGTCCATAAAATAGTAGGTATATCAATAAACTCAATAAGTATATATTATATAAAAGCATTACAATAATGACTTTTAGACTTATATAACAGCAAAACAAAAATACTATAGGAAACATAAATTTATCAAATATGATTATAATGGTCTGACCTAAAGCATTATGGATCTTGGAGTTTTGGACAAACAAAATGTGTTTACTGATTTTTGATGTGATTTATTTGAATATATAGTTTAGCAAGTTTATTTATTTTTATCCCCTGAAAGAATTGAACTTAAGCTTTCTGAAGCATTCAAAATGAAGGGGAAAATAAAAATTCATGATTCATGCAAGTTAATGTGACAAATATAGACATGGGTCCTGTAGAATGATCTTATAAATAGTGAACATTGCTGCATTTTACTTTAAATGTTTACTCTAAGTGTGATAGAGTAGGGATTTTTTTTCAGAAAATTATCAAATTGATTGTTTGCCAAAATGCTACTTTGCGCAATAGTTTTATTTGGTTGTTTTATATTGACCCCTCTTTTGCAAACAGTGATAGGTGGTGTGTGTGTGTGTGTGTATGTGTGTGTGTGTGTGTGTGTGGTTGTTGTTACTGCAAAACCATAAAGATTATGATAGTTTATGATGGTTTATATTCAAAATGGAAAAGAACTCATCATGAGGCAAATAGTATAATGGAAAAAATCAAAGGATAATCCTATTTGGGAACAGAGAAGCAGTAAAGAATGAGGGATAATTAAAAAAATAAATACACAAGGAAATTTTACTGTATATTGATGTAATTAAAATGGTAATACTAATATCTTCCAGCATTCTATAATAGGTTGAGTTATTTAACCTAACAAGGTATATTGGATTTATTAACTCTATGCCTACTGGGTTTTATAGTTTAAATGTAGGTTTTTAAAGAGAGGATAAAAATAACTTAAGCAGACTTCTCAAGAAGTTTGAGAGCAATAAATTAAGGCTGATAGTACAATAAGGAAAATAATAAAGGTAACTGATAATAATGACACAGTAAACTTAAAGAAGCAACAGAGATAATGCTCCACCCTGAAAGTATCTAATAAAGCCAGTTACCCCACAAGGTTAGTCAGGAAGGGAGATGCAGTGGGAGCACAGTGTGAAAGCCTGCGTTCCAATAAGTAGTGAAGCAGAGATTTCTCGAATACACTTCTTACCTAAATGGGACAAGTCATAGACAAAAAGTGTAACTAGCCCTCTACTTATTAAGGGAATTGCATCTTAATTGAATATAGGTTCCAATTGGGGAAAAGCTGTTAGTCAAATGGCTTCCGTGGTGAATTTTATTACAGGTTTAGGAAAGAAATCATATTAAGATCACAGAGATTTGTTTAAAGAATGGAAAAGAGAAAAACATTTGTGAATCTAGCATAACCTCACAAAACAAAACTTTTGGGACTATTTCATAAATACACATGTAAAAATTGAATGAAAAAATTGATAAACAGATTCCAGTGTTGGACAAATAAGAATATGCAAGCTACTATCAAATCTCAGCAAGATTTATCCCCAAATTTATTAGACTTAACATCAGAAAACCAATTAGTTAAGTTAGAAAAGTGGAACAATTGGTGTCTTGCTAAATAGACTAGGCTAGCTCACCACTGAGCCTAGGATCCATGTGCTTTTGTTTGCCTCTCCAGCATTGATTACAACTATGCACCTCTCTGTCAGGATATGCTTTACATAATATCTGGGGTTGAACTTGGGTCCTCATGCTTGAATGGGAAGCATTTTACTGACTGAGCCATCTCCTGAGCTGAAGATAGATAGCCTATTGAGTAAATTGTTCTGGGTTATTAGATTACAGTGTGGGAAAGATGTTTGTCAGTAGATCCAACAATAAGAAAGAATGTATTGGAGAATATATTTAAGCCTTAGGGATAGAAAATGCTTCTTAAGTTGAACTCAGAAATGCTAATCATAACTGATAGTCCTTGAGAGGTTGAAGCAGGAGAATCACAAGTTTGAGGCTAGCCTAGGCTACACTCCAAACAGAATATTCTAATCATAGAGAAGATTAAATAATTGGTGCATTGATGATAAAATTCTCTGTTCATTTCTGATACAATTAAAGCCAAGATGAGAGAATGAATATATATATATATATATATCTCCAATAAAAACTCTAAAAACTCTGTTCTTAATATAAAAATAATATCTATAAAATGCAGACAATTCAACATAAAAATGAGTCTCTCCCAGAAGCATTTATATTATAGAAAATATCAAACTGCTAACAAATGCATCATAATTATTCAATAAGAGACAAATTTCAATGATAGTGTGAAGATGTAATATAAGCACAAGTGACTAATATAAAGGTCAAAGAAACCTAATAACACCAAATATTGATAAAGACATGGAGAACTGAAGTCTTTCATATGGCTAGAGGGTGCTTAAACTGACAGACATCCTTTGAGATATTTTTTGGTATTATCTAAAATTACCTAACACACACACACACACACACACACACACACACACACACACAGACACACACACAGAGTGAGAGAGAGAAAGCCAAAATCGCTGCAACAGAAATGCTATAGCCCCGGTATTTAAAATCTTTATAGTAGAAACAACTTAAGCATTCATCAATAGAAATGTGGGCAAATGTGATTTTTTAAAATAATAATCAGAGGTAGTACCCAAGCATACACTGAGTCTGAATGATCATGGTAGACTGAGAGACAAAGGCAAATAGATTTGAAATGAAATGTATGCAACATTTACTAGGCATAGTGTTGAGTCAGTATGGTCTGAAGATAAGAATCATGGAATATGATAATATAACATTGATTCTATAATAATGATCATTATTATATATTATCATTGTAGAATCATAGAATGATTATGAATTGAGTATGTTTTGACTTCAAGCAGAGGTTTTTATCATTCTCATCTCTCATAAATTTTAAGCATTGTACATGTTTGAGATATAGGTATGATAGTTTTCCTGATTTTCTGATTATATAACATAAAGATGTATATACACTTTATATCCCTTTATGTACAATTCTATGTCAATGGAAAATTTTATTCAATGATCAGAAAGAAAAGAAAGAAGAAAAGAACAAAGGAAAGATAATTTGCTAGAGAGGTGTCCCCTGGCCATCCACTCTACAATACACTTGCCCTCCCATTATGCTGCCATGTGACTCTCCATTTTCTTCATAATTCTTGTCATTAGTAGACATACTCATTTATTGTTTACTCAATAGCTTTCACAACTAAATGTAAATTTTGAAGTATGAAGCTTATATAGTTCTCTGTTGTAAGATCAGTGACAATGGCAGCAGCAATGAGCCGAGAAGGGCCTTAATATTTGTGTCGAATGAATGAAAACATGGACAAACTAATAGTGCAAAGAGAGCATTAAGTAGTCTTATGAAAATAAAATCCATTAATATATATATATGTATATATATATGAAGATAAGAATCATATATATATACACACACAGACATATATATATATATCTTTAATGATAGTGACAATAGAAGTAAATGAAAAACTCTATGTAGAGTTTGCCTAAAGATGCATATTTATACAGGTGTCCAGTTGTCGTAACATTAATCTGGCAAAGCTAAATGTATTCCCCCTTACCTTGTTTAGAAGAAGAGTGAATAGAATGCAGCTGAAGGAGCTTGCTGGGTACTGGAGTCTGAGTGAATGGCCTTTTTATACAGTAAGTCCATCCAGGGAGGAGCCACCCTCTGTGGGATGGTCTGATTCATTCTTACCCAAACCCAGACCCACCCATATCTCCACCTCTATTTCTCCAATGACATATGTTTACTTCCCAACTTCCTCACGTACTCGTGTGTACTTGTTTTAGTAAGCCCCAAATTTAGATTTACATAAGTCCTATGGTATTGGTGATTTTTCTAAAAGGGTCTTTACTAAAGGCTCATGTATTCAGGCCCATACCTATATTTTGTAGCTCCCAGTTTGACCTGGTAAGTGTCAATTGATCCTTCCTTGATTCTAGAAAAGTTTTATATAATATATGGATGCATATACCTTCATGGCCCTTTTAACCACGAATGTCATCTCTGGCTAATAAGAGAACTTGCTATGAGATGAATATTGATCTATAATAATTGGAGAGAAGATAATGACATTAATTTTGATTTTTCAAAATGGGCAAGAATGTGAGTGTTAAAGTTAGAAGTTGCAATCACTAGGAATACAAGGTTATTGGTCAAAATCCATTAGTCTGCCAAGTTTTTAAGGCTATTGCACTGAGGCACCCTCCCGTGTAACTCACAAGTGAAGCTTGGTAACAGGTTTGGATGGGTATGTGTGGAAGACGGGGTGAACTATTATTCCTGAAAACATACAGGAGACTATTCTCATGTATCTTTCTTTTGATGTCTTCGTTAGTGTGTTAAACCAGCTGTATTTCCATTTGGATGTCCCCTCTCCACCTCAGTCCATATTGTTTAAAATCAGACTCTTTATTGTATTCCCTACCAACGTGCCCTCTCTTCCAGAAGTCTTCACACTGGTTATTTTTTCCTTTTTCCAATCTCCCATTCTTATGCCACATGATGTGTATTCTCTTTAGATTTATATTCTTTACAAAGGCTTATCTATATCTACAACATGATAGTTTTGGTTCTGGACTATAA